TATAATTACATGGAGATAAAAAGAACGTTAAATACAATATGTCTCAAATCAGTTGCTCTGAGCTGTACCTAAAAGACTCAAACAAAAGAGATCTGCTGTCTCCTCCCAGGCTGCACAATACCATATGCTTCATTTTTTATGCTGTAATTTGAATCAAGAATCAAACATAAGTGAGTAAGACACATATAATTGTCACATGGACTGTGGGTTTTGTTGTTATTCTTGAGTTACTTTAAAAATAAATTTGAGAGGTTTCTAGCATCTGTTTAAAACATGACAATCTATTACAAAATCTTAACTAGCACATTAAAACTGAAAAAGTAAGACACTTGTATGCATCTCTAGATCCAAGAGTGTCATGCAGTGAGGAGATGAGGGAATCTTAGTCTGTGCATTTTCAGTCTGGATATTTAGGCACGTAGCACATAAATCATTGGCATCAAGGCTCTGAAACAGAAGTTAGCTGTCTAAATCAGAGGACCCAAGTTTTTGCTCATTATTTTACGCATTTAGCACCTGGCATTTCTGTTCCTCCCCAGTTATAAAATTTTCCAATGGTAATATCCTGAACAACTGTTAATGATTCTGGATATTGCATTCCATATGACAGCCTAAGTCTGTGACAGAAACCCTACAACATAACATTGCACACATTAGCATTATTTAGACAGATTACACTTCCTACAGTCACAGCTACATCCAGAAAAATAAGAGACTAGAGTCTTAGTTTTGTCTTATTTTTTGCTTGATTTGTTTTAAGTGTAGGTAGCCCTCACCAAACCATGACTCCTAATATATTATTTTACTACACCCCTTAGTACACCTAGCTAGTACTACATAAATGCAATGGTTTAAGAAAAAGATGCTTATAATTTAGCCACTACCCCCTTGCAGAGTAGAATTCCCCAGTTTAAAGTGGCAGATGAATGCTCAACTAAAGTTGACACTGACCTTAACAAAGTATTAAGCCATGCAGTGTAATTAAGAAAACTGGACATAGATTGTCTCTTTCAAGACATTTAAATACCTATCCTCTATTCCTTATTATATAATCATTAAAAATTCTTAAAAACCAAATAATTTTCACTATTATGGACACCACATCATACAATCCTTTTAGTAAACCTAAATCATATCCTTCTTACTGTGATTAAAAAGCTCCTAACGAATTCCACCAATGCTCAATGTAATTTGTTTTTAAATTTCTACTTTATATTTATTATATGGACTGAGTATAAGTGTATGTTTGTGGGTAGCAACACCTTCCTTTATTTTAAACAGATAACTCCTCTTCTTCCCACCCTGCCCACACATCCTCCAGGTCTTAACACTAGGTATCAAGCAAATTCAAGCATTTTACATTTCACCTCCCTCTTCCCACTCAATGTTCCCAAATCATGCTCCAATTCCAGTGGTGCAAGACCTAACTTACCCCAGCTGGAATTCAATTTCTTGGACATGACTAACCAAAATGGAACAGATAAAGTTTCTTTGCAATGGCATCAAAATCTCCCTGTTTCACTGGAAATATCTGATCTGCTCTATCTGAGGACCAGGACCTAACTTGATTTTTTTTAACAACTATATTGGCAGCTCATAGTCATCCTCTGATTTGTGAGGATTCCAAGGTTCTTCTTCAATCTCTTCTAACAATAAAGTCAAAGTTTCTAGTTTGGGTTATAGGTCTCAAAGCACTTAATCATTCTGTATCCTTGAATTTCATCCCAGTCTTTGATACTTTAGCCATCCAGCTCTTCCCTGCTGAGTCCTTAGCACATTCCTAATGCATCAAAATTCCATTCTAGCCTGCACGAAAATATAACATGAAGTCTGTAGGATAAGAGCAATCAATGTCAATTACTCTCAGACCATCTCTTCTCCAGCAAGAAGGCTGCTGCTAAACCAGAGGACACCAGCAGCAGATAAACACCTTCCCCGCTGCTCAGCCTGAGCACTTCACAAAGCAAACCACAAAGGACATTACACTCTCTGGTAAAATCCTGTGAGTCACCATCAGCAACGACCTTGACTCTGCAGAAATGTCCCCAATACTGCAATATCTGTGGTCACCTTTTTTTTTTCCATAGATGCCAGCACATTTTACAGTTCTGACATAAACCCATGTCTTTAAAAAATCTTGTGTACTATAGCTCTTCTTTAGTAAAAATAAACCAAACCTTTAATATTAAGTTAATCAGACCTGATAATAAAAACCATACACATTGGGGTAATGCTATGAAAATGAAGCTGAACTGTATTCTTTGTATGAAGCATTATGGAAGCATTCTTAAGCAAACAGTTAAGAAATTAAGGATATGGAGAAAGATGAACACACAGGAATGCAACAGGAATATGGTGTCTCATTGACCAATCAGGTGTTCAGTAATTTTTTGATGTAACACAGACTAGTCTAAATAAGACTGAAATCGGTGTTAGCAACTTCTACAAATATGTAGTAGAAAATTCTATTGACTGTCTATTTAGCCACCTAGCCAAATTACCTATTACTTTTCATCTCTCATTTTTAACAACTTTACTACTCAAGTAAGTCTATCTTTTAAAGTCAAATATTTTTCTAAAAATACCACAAAAATGGTTGGCTAAATGAAACAGAAAAAAGAAGGGAAAACAAAGAATAAGATATTCTACTACTTTAGAACCCATTATTTCAACTCCAGTAGAGCTTCAAGTGGTTGAACCTGGACGGGACTACAAATTAGTCAGCACAGTATATAACCAAATTATTATGTATTTGGGGTGTTCAGACAAAATAGAATGATTTTATTTTTACAAGAGCCCTGGCAGCAACATTCACATTTTACTTGGTGGTTAAAGAAAAATCCTCAGGAACACCTCAAAATATTTCAGCAAGTAAATAAACTCTATATTTTTATCACCCATGAAAGCGTTATTTCTGGGAAATTGTTCTTGTACCTAAACCCTCTTTCCTATTTTATTCCTTAGTGTACTCTCATAAACATCATTGCAGTGGTGCAGTCATAACTATCTTGCATATGCTGATCATAAAAAAAAAAAAAAAGACCAACAAACTTTTTACAACCATCACTTGAGCCAGTATAGTTATAGATCATGTAACTAGGAACCCTTTATTTCCTGACCAGGATTGGTATGGAATGCACTCCTACATAAGGAAAACCTCTGTGGGTTGTTTAAGAGTCCATGTGAGAAATATGGAAATTTGAACGGATTCATGTAAAATCACAGCAAGGTAATGCAGAAGCAAATGTGAAAAAACATGAACAATGACCACCTCTGGATTTAATTAGTTTACTGTGCAGCTCACACCCACATCAATGTGCACGGGGAAGATGCCTGCTGTATATTCTCATGTTTGCTGTTTACTGATGGCATCCTTCTGTATCCTTGGACGAAGAAAAATGGTGATGAAAATAAAAGAAGAGCACTGCAAAAATTAAGTAAAATGATCCATTAAAACAAAGAAAAATTTTTTTTAATCTACTATTTTCTGAGAAGATGTTAATGATTGTTCTTGACTGCAAATCCACTCTGTTGCAAAAGACTTTTCAAATGCTTCATCTGATAGGGGGAGAGAGACTGACACAATCAAGTGGCATATCACTTTTAAAAAATGTTCAGATATTTTGAAAGGAAATGATGCACCAAAACATAGCAAGGGCATGTGAACAGAATTATAGTGCTTTGCTTCAGGCCTAGTACGTAAAAGTCCATTAATCCTATTTTATTTCTTTACCATTAAAAAAAAAATCCACTAAAAAAAAAAGTAGATCTTTTTTTCACCGATTTAATTCTGGATAGACACTATTTCCAGGGAAGTGTGATAGCTGGAAGGTGTATGGGGCTTACCTATACAAAGCCTTATGCTCACAACAATGTTGCTTTGGGTATTCCATATATGCATCTTTTGAGATATGAGGCTCAGAGCATCTGAAGCAAAATTAAAATGCTGTCAATTTTCATATCAATCAGAACATTTTTCATCTTCTCTCCACCTCTGAAGTCACATTGCTACATAGGAATTAAATTTCACTTCCAAAGAGCGGAGAAAAATGGGAGATGATCCCACCACCTATCTGAAAACAGAAAATGCAACAAACAAGACCTGCTCTTAAAAAAAGAAAATTAAAAATGTATTTAAGTACGGTTTAAATTATTTTGTTCTAGGCTTGGCTTATGTTTTTAAAGGTTGGAAGCACTGACTGGTTACTGGAGCTGGAGTTGGACTGGATGACTGTTCAGAGAGGATATGCTGGTAGGTAACTTTGCCTCCCTTTGTTTCCCATGTTCAGGACAGTCATGGCCTACGCTGTTGATTTCGCAGCCTGCCCGGGCACCTCACTAACCTTCACTCCCTGCAGCCACTGTCCACACCGGCTGGCAGCTCACAGAGCGGAGGGTGAGCAGCCACCTTCACTCACCCCTCCGTGACTGCCCCCGGCTCTGCCTCCGCACCCCTACGGCTGCAGGGACTCCTCCCTCGACAGCAAACGCGTGAGAGCAATAAAAGGGCGTGCAGCAAGGGCAGCCCCCGCCCAAATACGTCTCACCCTGCCATTTTATCATTTTCACACGGTGAATGATCACGCGTGGCGAGGACCACTGCTGAGTGGGTTCGCCGCTGCCTCACCACGGCCCCAGCGCCACCCACCTGTGTTCGCACTGCCTGGAACACGGTGTGACACCGGCCGTCTGCCGAACACTGAGCAGACACGCCCCAGCGGTGCGGGGCGGGGGGTAAAGGCCTCCCCCTTCCTCGCTGCTCCGGGCAGGACGGGAGAGGGGAGAGAGGAGAGAGAAGAGAGAGCCGGGCGCTGCGGGCGCGCAGGGGCAGAGCAGGCAGGGGCAGCAGCGGCGCGGGGGACGCGCCTGAGGGGCGAGGGGGCGGCGAGGGGGCGGCGAGGGGGCGGCGAGGGGGCGGCGGCGCCCCGTCCTCCCCCTGCTGGCGGCCGCGCCCCGTCGGGCCGGCCCCGTCCCATCCCTTGACCCGCGCGGGGCGGTACCTGCGCAGGGTGCGCGGCCGCAGGCGGCTCCGCGATCCACAGCTGCTCCTTGAGGAGGTGCTGGTAGCTGAGGCAGTGCTTCAGCGCGGACGGCACCGTGCCCATGGCTCGCCCGGCTGCCGCCGCCGCCGCAGGGTGGGCGCAGCCTCCGGCCCGCGCGCGAGCAGCTCCGCGATTGGCGGAGCGCGAGCGCCGCCGCGTCCCCTCCCGCGCGGCTGCGGCGGCCGCCGCCTCACGCCCGCCGGCCCCAGGGCTCGCCCGGTGCCTCTCCTCGCCCTCTCTGCCCCTCGCCCTCCGCGCCCCTCGCCTCCTGCCCCTTCTCGCCTCCTGCCCCCCTCGCCTTCCCGGCTGAGCAGCCGCGGCTGTGGGTGGCCGCGCTGGCTGCGGGCTGGGCCGGCGCCGCAGCAGACTGCAGTCGGGGCTGCGTGCGGGAGAAACCGCTGAGGAGAGAGAGCCGAGAGGGCCGAGCGTGGGGACGGCCAGCCGTGCTGCCCCTCACGCTCCCTGCCCCCGCACGGCCGCGGGACACCGGGCCCAGCCTGACCTGGCAAGGCTTCAGGCAGCAGAGGGGAAAGAGAGGAGCAAGGGGAAGGGACAGGGCTGCTTCTAGACGTGTCCTGTTCGACGCCCTGGGCTGTGCAAACCATGCAAGATAAACGAGGTCGTGCTCGCTCGGGCGTCCAGGTGACGCGAGGCTTCGTGCGCACACTGGCATTTCTGCTTTCCATTTAGGTAGCAAAAACTTAGAGCTTTACAAATGTGCTGTTCAGGTTTCAACAGCTCTCTCCGCAGCAGCAAGTTATATTTTGTCTGCTCCCTTACATTTATTGTGTCAGCCAACTTTCCAAACTCCTCTCAAGCAAAAATTGTTTCTGGATCATTCGTTTTCTGTGCTATCAGGGATATTTTGTTAAATTTATTAGCCTTTCCATCAATCATTTTCTGTAAAAGATTATCAGGTTTACAACCAAGTCTCTGTTTCAGTTATTCACGAATAGATAGGATGCTGTCAAAGCCCCATCTTTCTTTTGCAGTTTTGCATTTCATCCTTGTTGTTCTGTGCATCTAAAAATTGTATTTTCATAGTCATTGTAAACCAAAACTGGATGCTGATTGATTGGCTGGGAAGCTTTTGTTCTTCAAGGATAATTATGGCTTTTCAGAAATAAGATATTTAAAATCCAGTGTAAAAGTTTAAAAATATTACTGGTAGTCATCTCTGCAATTTCAAATCTGGCCAGTGAAAAGTGCCAGGAAGTTTTTTTACTGACAACTATCTGATGCAGTTAGTATATTTTCTGCCTTTTTCCAGTAAACTATTTATGAATGCAACATTCTTTTATTTTTACAGTTCAAAATTCCACTAAGCTTTCCTTAAATGCTGTCTCTAGGTATTTGCTTTGGTCTTGTTACCTATAGTTAGGGATAAAATATAAGAGAAGGTGGCAAAAAAATCATGCCTTTCTTTTTTGTCTCACAGTGAGAGAAGGTTTATCAATGATGAGGTATATGTGAAGGGAAAGGCACTTTATTAAGATCAATAATTTCATTTTCACTTTTCTGTACATTTCAAAGCCAGCTGGAAAAAGGTTAACAGCTATCACAAGAAAGCTAGGACTATGTCTATGAATGAAGTGTACCTCTCCTACCTACCTCACCTGTTCTTGAGTTGCTTCAGTTTCAAAGTCAAATTTCTTATGGCCTTTAATCATCTTTCTTACAAATACCTCTGACATTAGCTGCATTGTAATGCTCTGCAGGCAGCTTATATATCAAAGTGCTATTTTCTGCACATTAAATCCCTTCTAATGGTATTGTTTTTATGTCTGTTACTGTTTTGTTTTTGTAGGGCTTAAAACCTCGGTGGCCTCTTCCAGCCTAACCCAAGTGTGGATGTTTACTATAACAAACCTGCTTCAAGACTCAGAGCACCACCACATATTCTGAAATAGAACATCTTCTTCTTCTGAATTCACGGTGTTGTTGGGCAGAGAAGGAAAACATAACAGATACATTCTGAAATAATCCCAAATTGAGTTCTCTTGCAACAGTTTCTCATTGTTTATTTTCTGTTCTACCTCTTATTCTCCCCGCAATCAGAATTTGTTTTTCACCCTTGCCAGTTTTGCGCTGAATTTTTCAACTGGTCCTTCTAAATGCAAGGAGTTGTTTCAAAAACAAGAGACACATAAATAAAACCATTCATATGAAATATGCATGTTTCTTGGGAGAAGGGTGTGATAATCTTTCTATTGGAAAAGGGCCTGTGTGTTAAAACCTCTAGGGCTAAAATGGATTGTTATTGCTAAACAAGAGTTGCATTGGACAGCACAGAGCAAAAGAAGCTCCAAGAGGATTGTGTTTTAGGCACACACAATCATCTTGATACTCTTCTTTCCTTGCCGAGGCTACAAAACTTTCTCCACCCCACTTTATGAGTTAACATGAAGGCAGATACGCTTGTCCTGTGATAGTACCAGTGTATTTACTAATGGAAGATTTGCAGGGTGAGGTAAAGAATAATGGCCACTTCTGGCAGATCTTTCTGTAGCATCATGTGGGCCTCTCGTGCTCTGGACTTTTATGTGCCCTGTGCTGTTCCTTATTTTAATTCTGTGTATATTTTGTTCAACAACGGCCTTTTGGAACAACTTCAGTTTGCTAGAACACTGGAAGGGCTCAGATGTGTTTAGTGCTGTATCAGGATAGTGAGTAGAAATTGTGCACAACTGGCTTTTGGCTTTCCATTTGTCTCTTAAAACTGTTTATCATTCTGATACTCCTCTGAATTTATCATTGTCATTGGCTCACGCTGCATTCTGGTCAAAGGTTTTAAAACGTTTATTAAAAGGAATGCTTTTGACTAAAATAAATAATCTCTCAAAGAAATCATGCCACCAAGCCAACCAGATGGGGAAAACAGGCATATTTGTGTAATATGCAGAGTAACTCCAAACACTACCACAAGAGATGTTTCTGTACTCCTTATTGTTGCCATGCAGTTACACAGGTAGTTGGCAGTCCGATCATTAGGAGTGGAAACATAAAGCTGTTGGATTTCCTGCAGTGTGACACAAAACCTTGGCCAAGAAAGGCATGGTAAAAATAGATTGATCATTTATAAGCATCTGAAAGAAAATAAGAAAGTTGTTTAAAGAGTGATTTGATGACAGCAAGAAGGACAGAATCAGAAGCAAGGGAGCTATTCATACTGATGATAATCATAAGTGCCAAACTGGCAAGCAGCCAAAGTGCCTACTAGGCAGGGATCAAAGACACATATGGTGAGTCTCAAACAACAAGTAAGCCATAGAATTCTGGCAAGCATTGCAGGAATAATATGCTCCAGCCCTGACAAAGATGAGGGCTAAAAAAAAACAACAATGGGGCTACCAATACTGGATCATACCTCAGGGAAAGCAAAGCTTTCATCATTTCAGTTTTATTGGAGAAAAATGTAGATAACTTCTCACATATGGTAGGTCTGGTTGATCCAAATTGATGGGACATGTAACACAATGTTAAAAAATATCCTTTACAGTTGTGGCAGTAAATCAGTATTCCATTAGCTGCAGCATCATTCAGAGGCGGCATTCTTCAGAGAGTTAGTAATAGATTTTCTTTGCCAAAATAAAACTATAGCCCAGGTGATAGACACCTGGCATTTGAAACAGACACAATCAAGAAGAAAGTCCAAGTTAATGTCTTGCCAGATGTTGGAGCTTGTTCTTTTCTATTCTTTCAGTAATTTGGTCAGATTGCAGGGTTTATGACAACTAGATCACAATGTAAAACAAGCAAACACAAAAGGACACGTTTTAGCTTTATTCTCATGCTACTATGCAGCATCACAAAGGAAAAGAAGGAAATTCTGTGAGTTTAGACCTGGTTTCATAGTTATACACTCATACAGAGAATCATTAAAAAGGGGACATGTCATGAGCTGTGTTATTTTACATTTGTAAAGGGTGCTGACTTTTACACTGGCAGGAATGGTACTTGGCAGCCCTTGGGTCTATGGGTGGTCTCCAAGGTACCAGCCCTGCATAGCTACCTAGAATTGTTATGAGGCATATCAAGGACAGCAGAGAATTGTTGCAGAAAGTGCTTATTTATGGATAACATTTTCCATTTGAGACATTTTCATAACTGACAAAAATGCTGCTGAGCCAAATGTGTCCCTTGTCTGACTCCATCATTTAGAACTGTGATTTCTTTGTCTCAGCGACCTGACCTACCACTCGACAGTAACAGGAGAAACTGAGCCAATTCCTGAATGGATTTTCAAGGTGCTATTCTAATATTTAAGAATATATTTCCTTTTCAGAGCAAGTGTTTTGCCTACTGTTATACAGACTTTGTTTCCATCTCTTTTTTTCAGATCATGTACTTAGTATCTCCATCTCCACCTAGTCTTCTCTGCCAATAAATGCTGATGTGATTTTTTATAGGGATTATAAGGTGCAATATGCAGTGACCTCTGATTTCCTTCCTCTCTTTATGTTATTAAGAGACAACAAAATAGTACTGATTTTCAGTGAAGCCGGTTTTCTTGTTTTTCAAAAAACTGACCCTTTTACATCGTGTAGGATAAACTATAAATTACTCTTAGGAAGTGTTTATTGGATAAAGAAATGCTGGAACAGCTTTTATGCTATGTCCATTGCTTCTCAAATAGAGAGTTTTTATCAGAGTTTAGTCAAAACAGGAAAAAATAGCCACCTGAAAACTGTACATGCAGTGCATTCTGGGAGTGGTGCTTTCCAAACAGGAAAAAAAAGAATTAAAGACCTGAACCTTTTCTGTTCTCTTAGGGAGCAATTCTTCTGATTTGTTTTAGATATATATTTTAGTATCAAATGAACTATCTTCTACAAACCATATGCAACTTCTCTATTTCAAACTTGTCCATCAATTGAAAATGAATTAGGCATTGTCCAATAAAGCACAAATGTATATGGATGGTACAAACCCAAAAGCTAAATGTACATGTTATTTTTAAATTGTAATATTCTAATTACTAAACTAACATGCAAAACATATTTTGTGAGCATACTAGGAATAAGTTTGAGGGGGTTTTGAGGCATTTGCCATAAAACTGAACTTTTAAATTTACTTGCAATATGTCCCAAATTACTAC